TAACTATATATATATATATATATATATATATATATATATATATATATATATAAAGTTTGACAGCCAAGAAGAAGGTGACGAAGGGGCAATTTGTTTGAGAGTGAGAAGAAGATACAAGGGAGGCAACGTTTGCTGGTCGGTGGACCCAAATGTTACACTACTATCATCACATCATCCTAGGCTAATTATTTTCGAAAAATTTATTCGCACTCGATATTTACGTATGATTTTAGATATGGACAAATTTAGAGTCTGTTGAGAGGGTTTACTCGAATTCACTTATGTAGTATATTTAAGGTATTTTAAAGAGTTTTTTGTTTATATATTTATTTTGAATCTCTTGAATATAAGATTAGAGGCTAGCTTTGTGATTGAGGTGTTCAAACTTCAAATCTTAAGTACTGTTTTTTTTCTGAATCCCCTTAATAGAAATTCTGGATCCGTCACTAATTTTAGATTATGATAACTTTTTTGTTATTAGTTACTAAATGGATCTAAAAATGCATACTAATTACTCCATCTGTTCACTGTTGTTTGTTAGATATATTAAAAATAGTTGTTCAAAATTAATTGTCAATTTAAACAATTAAGAAATTAGTTAAATTTTTTTTTCAATTTTGCCTTGTATAATTGCATAATTACTGGTTTCAAAAAGTACCGGTCATTTTAAAGTTATAAGAGTAGTTAAGTTGTTTTTACCGTTTTCAAACATAGATATCATTTTTATAAAAGAAATCAAATTGCACTTTATATTAAATTTTTCTTTAAAATTATGTATGATCTTATCTTGATAAACAATAGTGGACGAAATGAGTGATTATGATTAGATGGGGGATTATGTACATTATGTTAAATAATATCGGTTTTGAAAATTTATCTTCAAAAGAAATAATTTAAATTCTAAACCACTCATAAAACTTTTTTTAATTCACATAAAAAACATGTACAAATATAACTTTAAAAATTCAAATTTTTAATTTTAACTTCAAAATTAATGATCAAACATGAGTGAAGAATAGAAACTATTATCTAAATTTTTTGTGTAGAGTACTAATTAAACAACAAAATTCATTACTAATATCATTTAGCAATAATATAACAATGGATTATTATAAAATTAGGTAAGTTATAAATTACTTAGGGACAAATTTAAGAGGAACTCCAAAACTAATTATATCCAATCCTTTTGTTATCCTCTTATCTTCCCATCATTTTTGCATTTTAATTAGTACATATGAAAGTATATATAATTGAGAAAAATGAATAGATCAATTTGATGTACTAATTAAGCTTTTGTTAGGCACTTAGTTTGAAAAAGGACCAGATTAAAACAATCTATATTTAACTTTATTTTGTATTTTTACGAAAAAATATATTTTCACAGTTTAAATTTGTAATCTCTAAAAAAAGTTTTATAAAGTATTATGTGATAGTTACGTAAAAAAAGAAAAAATTAGTGATGTTTTCATATGAAAAATATCAAAAGTTACACTCTATATCAACGAAAATCTGCTTGCCATCATGTTTTCTTAGTAAATTGATTCGCTGAAAAATCAATAACAAAATTATGTTCATTACATAACTTGCGAATTTACGATGAAAAAAACTTTTATTTGTAATAGCGTCGGAATAAAAGAGAAAAATAATAGAGATTAAAAGAAAAAGGGTAGGGGTGGGGGTGGGGGTGGGGGTGGAGGGTATTATGGATATGTGTTTGTCTATGCATGACACCTAAAGCACATATAGAGGAACCTCAAATAACATCTTTTCTTGATAAAAAAATTCATTTTATAGCAAAGAGTTAAAAGGAGAAAAAGAGAGAGAAAAACACACACAAAAAAAA